ACCGCATCTTGGGCCCGATGCTTCGGGGGCCTTTGATTATTGTTTCGCACGGAGCGAAATGACCTACACGCATACACACACGCACACACACACACACACACACGCACGCACGCACGCACGCACGCACGCACGCACGCACACACACACACACACACACACACACACACACACACACACACACACACACACACACACACACACACACACACACACACACACACACACACACACACACACACACACACACACACACACACACACACACACACACACACACACACACACACACACACACACACACACAAAAAAAACACACACACACACACACACACACACACGCACCTCCCGCTGCAAGCGCCAGCGGCGCGTCGTCGAGCGAGCGCCATCCGCAACAGGAGGAGGAGGGGGAGGAGGAGGAGGAGGAAGATGAGGGGGGCGGAGGAGGAGGAGGAGGAGGAGGATTGAGGTTTGACGTTCTCCACATTTGGACCCTTCCGGGGCGACCAGCGCACATCGCGGGAACTCCGCGCCGCGCTCTGCTCAGAGCCTCGCTCGCCCCCGCCGTCGCTCTGCCTAGCGGCCACAGCCTTGCCCGCTACCAGCCAGCTGGCTAACCTCCTCTGCTCCGCGCAACGGACGACCCGCGCACGTCGCCGGGACCCCTTCGGGGCGACCGGCGCGCGTGGCGGGGACTCCGTGCGGCGCCGCGCCCGCAGCCATGGACGTCGGCGTGCACGGGCAAAGAAGCAGCAAAAGAAAGGGAAGGGACCAGGCGCGATCTTCGTGAGGAGCATACCGACATGGGCGTCGACACTCATGCACGCCGACTGATTCGCACGCAGACTCTGTCACAATCAGACTCACTCGCGCTCAGGCTCGCCCACTCCCAGTCTTTCGCACTCAGGCCGACCGTTTCTGTTCGGATTGTGTACCCTGCCACGCATGTCGGCACGCCCCTCACACGGTTCGTGGCCCCGTAGGGAGCGCGGGCGAAGATGATATTCACAATTGCGGCATTCACAACTGCATATGGTTGGGTCCTTCGCCAGGCCAATTTGGAACCTCTGAGGTCCAGGGATCCGCATGTAATTCCCAATCCTTTTGCAATCCGTCAGATGGGCCCATTTTGTCGTCCTTTATGGACGTGCGCACCGCATTCCCGCAAATAGATTTCTCGCTTGCACATTCCCATCAACCGCGAACGTGTCTCACGACTACAGCATACCGCCGCCCCACGATAGTTGTTTGAGGCTTCTGAGAAGGGAATGTATGAATTGGTTTGCAAGTGTTGGCCTGGTCTGGATGGTTCCAAATGAGGCCCCAGGGCCACCCGACGCAGTTCATTCCCAACCATCCTGTGGTGTTGGGTCCTCGTTTTGCAGAGACGGTCCCCGCGTCCCTCCTCTCCTCTCTTGTCCTCTCCTCCCCCTCCTCCCTCCTCCCCCTCCCCTTTCCTCCCTCCTCCATACGCTTCACCCACCCATAGGGAACTCCACCTAGGGAGCGCTTCGTGGCCCCATACGGAGCTCCACCTAAGGCCCCAGTGGGGTGTACCACATGCGTCCGCCACACCCAGTACGGCGCTTCGTGGCCCCATAGGGAGCTCGGGTGGCCACACGCGCCCGCCACACCCAGTACAGCGTTTCGTTGCCCTATCTGGAGCTCCATCGGAAGCCCCAGTAGGGGTGGCCACACGCGCCGCCACACCCAGTACAGCGCTTCGTGGCCAGTGGGACCGTCCGCATGCGTCCCGCATATCAAATTTGGCATTTTAAAGTTTCAACCACCCAATACAGCGCTTCGTGACCCCATTCGGAGCTCCACCGACGCCCCCAGTGGGACCGTCCGCATGCGTTCCAGACGCGCAAGTTGACAGCTCCACCCACCCAGAACAGCGCTTCATGGCTCTAGCAGGAAGCCCCACCGAAGCCCCCAGTGGGACCGCCCACACGCGTCCCACACACCCAATTTGGCAGTTTCACCCACTCAATACAGCGTTTCGTGGCATAGGAAGCTCCACCGAAGCTCCCAGTGGGACCGTCCGCATGCGTCCCAGAAACCCAATGTGGCATTTTCACCCACCCAATACAGCGTCTCGTGACCCCATTCGGAGCTCCACCGAAGCCCCCAATGGGACCGTCCGCATGCGTCCCAGAAACCAAATTTGGCGCGTTGACCAACCCAGTACAGCGTGCCGTGGCCCCAGAAGGAGCTCCACCAAAGCCCCCAGTGGGACCGTCCGCACGCGCCCCAACACACCCAATATGGCAGCTTCACCCACCCAGTACAACGCTTCGTGGCTCCAGAAGGAGCTCCACCGACAGCCCCAAAGCCACCGCCCGCATGCGTTCCTCCCCACCCAGTGCAGCGCTTCGTGGCCACATAGGGAGCTTCACCGAAGAAGATATTCACAATTGCGGTACCCACAACTACAAATGGTTGGGCCCTTCGCCAGGATAAGTGTTTTTAGCGTGCTCATGGCAACAATACGTTCGGCAATGTTCCAAGGATGTTGATTTCAGATACTGTATGTCTTCCCGTTTGTCTCTTCTTTGTCAACTTCTTGCTCTCGTGCGTCCCCTCTGCCTCCTTTTGTCCCTTTTGTCACCTCGTTGTCCCCTTGTGTCCCCTTTGCTCCTTTTGTACCCTTGGTCCCCGTGTGTCCCTCCCCTGTCCCCGTTTGCTTCCATTGTCCCCTCTGTGTCCTCGTGTCTCCCCGTTGTCCCATTTGCTCCTTTTGTCCCCTCTCTGTCCCTTTTTGCCCCCTTTGTCCTCTTTGCCTTCTTTGTCCTCAGTGTTCCCCGTGTGTCCTTCTTGTCCCTTTTGTCACCTCTGACCCTTCGTGTCACCTGTGTCTCTTTTGTTAAGTTTGCGTCTTTACCGTATTTGCTCCCTTTGTCAATTTTGGGAATTTCTGAGGTCGAAGTGATCCCTGCGTAATCCCCCAATCCTTGTGCAACCCGTCAAAAGGACCCATCTCATTACGGACGTGCGCACCGCATTCCCGCTTGCACATTCCCATAGACCGCGAGCATGTTTCACGACGGCAGCCTACCGCCGCCCCGCGAGGGCTTTCTGCTGCCTCTGAAAGGGGGAATGTATTTGTTGGACGCCCGAAATGGACACGGAAACAATGGGCACAATGCCCAACAGCAAATGTTGCCCCGAACCAACGGCGGCCGCTGTTGGGCAGGCGGCCTTCTGTCTCTCTCGGATGGACACAGGCCGCGGCGGCGCGGACAGCGAGTCCTGTTCAAAATGAACAGGAACTGCGGTTGGGCATCGTACCCATTATTTCCGTGCCCATCTCGTTCGTGCAGATCTTTGCACGTTTTGCCATTGCACTGTTGGCCTGGCCCGGGCGGCTCAGAATGAGGCCCCCGGGCCACCCGACGCAGTTCATTTTTGCTGTGCGCGCGCATTCCAACAAGACGTTCAGCAATATTCGGGAAATCATTATTTGAGATGTCCTCTTGGTGTTCCTGCTGACCCCATGTGTACTCTCTTTGTCCCCCTTTTGTCCGCTGTGTCCTCTTTCGTCTCCTCTGCCCCCTCTTTGTCCCCTTGTTTTTGTCCCTTTGTATCCTTTGATCATGTTGTTTCCTTTTGTCCCTCTTTGTCCCCTTGTGCCCCCCTTGTCCCCTCTTGTCCCCTTTGTCCCCTCGTTGTCCCCTTGTCCCCTATGTCCCTTTTGTCCCATTATGTCCCCTTTGCCCCATTTGCCTCCTTTGCCCTCTTTGTTCCCCTTTTGTCTCGTTTGTCCCCTCTGACCCCTTTTCCTCTCTGTGTCCCTTTTGTTACTCTTACTCCCTTTACATTACTTGTCCCCTCCGTCCCCTTTTGTACCATTTGTCCCCCACCTTTGTCCCCTTTGCGCTCCCTTTTTGTCACCTTTTTCCCCCCCCTGTGTCCCGTCTGCCGCTTTTGCCCCCTTGACCCCCATTTGTCCGTTTGTCCCTTTTGTCCTTTGTTTTCCCTCTGGCGCGGCGCGCAAGAGCTTCTTCGAGGACCTGAAAATGGCGAATTATGTTTATGTTTCCCCATTTCCGCAGCCTCCAGGGCGGCACGAAAGTGAGTTTCGAGATCGCTCTGCGACGGGGAGACGTTTTGAGTGTGGGCATTTCAACGGGACGTGCCGCATTTCTCGCGACATCGCGCGTCTTTTCTGGTGCCCTCCGGGTGCCTTCGCGTGCTCTCTGGGCTTGTCGTCGTCGGTGCTGTGCGGGTGGCTCCTGGGTCGATCCTGCATGCCAAGGGGTTGCTTTCTAGCGCCTTGCGGGAGCCTTCCGGGTGCCCTTCGGGTGCCCTTCCGGTGCCCTTCGCGTGTTCTTGGGGTGCTCTTAGGGTACACTTCGAGTGGCTCCCCCTTTTGTCCCTCCCCTGAGTCCTCTCTGACCCCTTGCGTTATTGTGCATTGTCTTGCGTTGTCTGTCACGCGGTTGCTCTCCTACGGACGTGCGCAGTTGCTTTCCTCGGCCTGCCAAGACCTTAGACATGGCCTGATCAGAGCCCAGCTGAGGCCCGCCCACCACCTAGCCAAGGCTTGTAAGAGGTCTTGCCAAGACCTGCCCACTTCCTACGTTTAGCCAACCACATGCAAGCACCACATGCCCGCGAGGCGGAGGAGGAGGAGGAGGAGGAGGAGGAGGAGGAGGAGGAGGAGGTCGCACACACGGCACGAAAAATCTGACAACAACGGTCTGTCCTGAGGGGTTCGACGGTGCTCCCTGCATTTTGCGGGGCTCCATCAATTGGACTCTTCAATATAGAGGGAAAAGAACTATGCACATGCACCGATTCTGGCCAGGCCCATCCTGAGCCCAGGATCGGTGCATACGCCCTCCTACCTTGGCCAGGAAGGCATATGCACCGATCCTGGGTCAAAAATGGGCCTTGCCAGGATCGGTGCATGTGCATAGTTCTCTTCGCCCTATCAATATTCACAACGGGCCAGCACGCTTGGAAACTGAACGAAACCTAAGAGAACTACGCGGAGGAGCCTAGAGATGCTGCAACTGCTTCCCGATAGGACTGGCTGGGAGACCGCTAGGCGTTCCCAACGAGCTCCTAAGGCTACCGCCGTCCCGTCTCCCGCGTGCCCTGGCGGTGCGCTGCGCCCGCGGCAGCCCTTGCTGCAGCGCGAGCCACTGGAGATCGAGCAACATCAAGCGCATGGTACCGGCATCGTCCCCGCAAGGCGCCAGGGAGCAGCGACTCTTGATATCCACGCCCAGGCGGTTCAAGTTGTGGAGGCGAAATGACAGCCACTTGCTTGTCGGAGCCCCCTGTTGGTCCGGGTTCCATGTGACCACGGCATCTGTCACCCACTTTTCTAATATGTTGTAGTCCTTCTGCCTGAATAAAGAACGAAGTTGCGTACCAGGCTCGAGGCTGCCAAAGAGGACCGAGAAAGCAGGGCTGCATGACGTGATCGGCAAGGCGTCGTCCCCGCTCCCAGCGAACAGATCAAAGGCCACGTGCATCTCAGAGTCACATGTGCCTGCTACAACAGAGGTGGCACCATCGTCGTCATCGAAGGAGCCGGACTCTGATCTCTCGGACTCATCAGGGCTTAGCACAACAGCAACATCGCTCTGGTATACGCGTTGCGTGTTCCACTCATCTTGCTCCTCGTTGATGCCGATCACGTGGATAAGGTCGTCCCCGCTTCCTACGCAAGCGTGGTAGATCTGGACCCTGAGAGTGATTCCAAGTGTGTCACGAAGCTTTGTGGAAAGAAGGCCCGCCTGGGTATCCTGCTCGGCGCCATCGGCTTCCGCCTGCCTTGCAATAAAATCTGATACCCTGGGTTTCTCATCCACCGTCGCAAACTCCGTGAATACTCTGCCATTGAAATTTTCGGGGCCACTCCGGCACATCAGCAGACTGCATAATTGATCGGCACCCTTGATAATCTCCAAACGAGGCCCCAAATAAATACACGCATCGCACGACTTAGACATGAGACGTTCGATGAGAGACGCATGCCTCGTGGCGTCCGCCTCTCGCGCATACACCGCGGCCATGTGCCTCATGATCGAATCCAAACTCCAAAACGCAATCAGACTAAAGACCGCATACAAGGCCATCACCACAAATGCAAAAACATCCGAAGAGCATGAGTACTCCTGAATTGCTTTCAAAACTACAAGGAAACATAATAGAACGGAGCTCAACTTTGGGTTACCACAAGCACATGATTGGGAAATCTGGAACATCAATGCTGCACGAAATTCACTGTCGCCGACTGAGACGGAAAACCCACGAATACTATCCGGCACCGCAGAGAAGAAAATGACGCTCAAGGATGACGTGATGTTCAGCGCGTTCAACCAAGCCGTCGACGTTGACTTCGGCAACACGCAAAGCATTAGCACCATGGCTGTGGCGGATATATACATGGGGGCAACGTCAACATAACGAGTTACCATTCCGTCGGAGCGCCACCCATGATCTAGAGGCATGCTCTGCTCGGCATTCGCAGAGCTGATGTGGCAGAATACACTGATGAGCAACTGCCCCACAGCATGTATACGCCCGAATGAGAAGAAATAGTATTTCTGGACTTCTTTGACTTGTGCTTCCAGCCTCCTGTCTGGCCCACTTGCACATCGAGAGCGAGTCAAGCAACGAACTTGGTCACAGCTGAAAGAGAAGACAGCCATGCAAAACCAACGGAATTTTGCGCAAATGTACATCACACCTAAAACGATCAATACCGATAATAAGCCGCCATGCATCAACAGAAATGGGTAACCAAAATAAATATAAACAGTATGGGCAGATTCGATCGACCCGGTACACTCTGGGGTGTTGGACATGGACTCCACACTGGGAAACACCTCGTCTCAACTTGAGTTTGAGCCGCTATGGAGCTCAGAGACACTGTAAATACGAAATCGCCTGGAGTACCTAACAGTCCAGGACTTTCCTGGAACGTTCCCCGACTCATTCTGGAAATGTCCGGAGATGTACCCCGCTGCTTGCATATAAGCACGTGGTGCCGCGTTTGCCTCCATCCAATTCTGACGACATGCATGCTCAGCATACGTACTCGTTTGTCTGACCTTCACAGCGTCCAAGACGGCCCAAGAGGTCCCAAGATCGTCCCCCCCAGAGGGACCAAAGACGGCCCAACGACGACCCCAGAAAGCCTCTAAATGACTCAAGAGGGCAAGGTGGCCCAAGGAAGACACCCAGACGGCCACAGAGAGGCTCTCAGAACGGCCTCCGAGGGCGCCAGACTGCTTCCAAGAGGCCCCGAAGACGGCCCAAGGACGCTTCCAAGAGGCCCCGAAGAGGCCCCCAAAGGGCCCCAAGATGCCCCCAGAAAGCCCCAAGATGCTCCAACGAGGCATCCAAAAGGCTCCCAGGAGCACTCCAAATGCCCATGCTCTACGCGCTCCAGACGTGCACCCGGCGAAACTCGAGGAACCCTGTTCCCCATGACAGAGGAAAGCACAATGTACCCCCAGGGATCGGCGGTGCGGCGTAAGCCAATGAATCATGTGAAACAACAATTGTTGCTCAATGATGTTCGTCTCTCCAGGGTAGCTGGATTCTGCTCTCTTTGTTACAACTTGAAGGTGCCGTCCTGGGGTCCTCTCGGGAACCTCTGGAACCTCTGGAGCCACTGCTTCCGTCCCGAAGCCTCAAGAGTCCGCCGGAAGCGGAGAAGCGAAAAAGTACAACACCCTTCGATAACAAAGCCGTTGAAGAGACATCAGTGGCCCATCAGGGATTTCGTGATGCCTCCAAGGCCCCAACCCGGCTCCAGCTGACTACGGGGCTTCCCAAAGACGTCCCCGAGTTCCTACACTTCCATTGTCAACGCCATTCGCCTGGGCATCGATTGCGGATGGGCAAGTCGGACAACGCGAACCGTCAAGAGTAAACGTAGTTGTAGCAACAGCAGTAGCATTAGCATAAGTAGGAAAAGTATTAGTAGCTGTACAAATAATAACTAGCTGTCGTAGTAGTAGTAGTAGTAGTAGTAGTAGTAGTAGTAGTAGTAGTAGTAGTAGTAGTAGTAGTAGTAGTAGTAGTAGTAGTAGTAGTAGTAGTAGTAGTAGTAGTAGTAGTAGTAGTAGTAGTAGTAGTAGTAGTAGTAGTAGTAGTAGTAGTAGTAGTAGTAGTAGTAGTAGTAGTAGTAGAGTAGTAGTAGTAGTAGTAGTAGTAGTAGTAGTAGTAGTAGGCCGTAGTAGTAGTAGTAGTAGTAGTAGTAGCAGTAGTAGTAGTAGTAGTAGTAGTAGTAGTGGGAGTAGTAGGTGTAGTAGGAGTAGTAGTAGTAGTAGTAGTAGTAGTGGTGGTAGTGGTTGAAGTAGTAGGAGTAGTGGTAGTACTAGTAGTAGAAGTAATCGTAGTAGTACTATTAGAAACAGTGGCAAAAGTAGCAGCAGCAAATGTACCAATACTGGTAGTCGTCGTCGTCATCATCGCCGTCGTCATGGTAGTAGTAGTAGTAGTAGTAGTAGCAGTCGTAGTAGTAGTAGTAGTAGTAGTAGTAGCAGTAGTGGTAGTAGTAGTAGTAGTAGAACCAGGAGTAGTAGTAAAAATTGTACTAGTAGTGGTACTGGTAAAAACATTGGTGATAGTAGCAGTCGTGATCATAATATTAAAAGACATCCTGGTAGTAGCCGTAGCTGTCGCAGTAGCCGTACTATATACAGTATAGTGTCGGAGTAGTGGTAGCGGCAGTGGAAGTGGTAGTGGAATTGGTAGTGGCAGTGGTAGCAGTAGTGGCAGTGGTAGCGGTAGCCGTCGTGGTAGTGGTAGTGGCAGTGGCAGGGGGATTGGTATTGGTAGTAGTTACGGTAGTGATGGTGGTGATAGTAGGGGTAAGGTGAATAGTAGTAGTAGTAGTAGTAGTAGTAATAGTAGTAGTAGTAGTACTACTACTAGTAGTCGTAGTAGCAGTAGTAGTACGAGTAGTAGTAGTAGCAGTAGTAGTGGTGGTAGTAGTAGTAGTAGTAGTAGTAGTTGTAGTAGTAGTACTACTACTGCTACTACTACTACTACTACTACTACTAGTACTAGTAGTAGTACTACTAGTAGTAGTAGTAGTAGTAGTCGTAGTAGTGATCGTAGTAGTAGTAGTAGTGGTAGTAGTAGTAGTAGTAGTAAGAGTAAAAATAGGAGTAGCATTCGTAGTGGTAGTGGTAGTCGCAGTCGCAATCGTAGTCGTAGTCGCTCGCGTAGTCGTAGTCGTAGTCGTAGTCGTCGTCGTCGTCGTCGTCGCACTCGCGGTCGCAGTCGTACTCCTCAGTGCAGCCGTAACCGCAGTCGTACTCGCAGTAGTCGCCGTCGTCGTCGTAGTAGTAATCGTAATCATAAGAAAATGAGTCATGGAACTAGAAGAAGGAGTAGTAGTAGTCGTCGCCGCCGTCGTAGTAGAAGTTGTGATAATGGGGGAAAAATTCGTCGGCGGAATAAGAATCGCATTAATAATAAAATCCGACGTGTAGCTCTAGCAACAACAACAATATTAATAAGAAGATCGGCAGCCGTAATAGTCGAAGCCATGCTGGTATGAGTATCAAGGTGTTCTGCAGTGCAAGTAGCAGTAGCAGTAGCAGTAGCAGTAGCGGTAGTAATAGTAGTAGTAGTAGTAGTAGTAGTAGTAGTAGCAGTAGCAATAAGAATAGTAAGTGTATCACGTACCTACATATTACCAGTTGTGGTCGCGGCGGTAGTATTAGTACGACTAGCAGTAGCAGTACTAGTAGAAGTAATAGCACTAATAAGAAAGACGTAGTAGCAGAAGAAGTGGGAGTCGTAGACATAGTCCTAGTAGTAGTACTGGTACGAGTAAGATAAGTAACAACAATAGTAGTAATAGTCGTAAAAGTAGTTAAAAAAGTAGTAGCAGAAGTAGTAGTAGTAGTAGTAGTAGTAGTAGTAGTAGTGGTAGCAGTAGTAATAGTAGCAATAATAATAGTGTGACAATAGTGATAATAATAACGATAGCAGTCGCAACAGCAGTACTACGACGAATAACAATAGTGATACTTATAACGATAGCAGTGCTACTAATAGTAGTAGTACTAGTAGTAGTAGTAGTAGTACTACTACTACTACTACTAGAAATAATAGTAGTAGTAGTAGTAGAAGTAGTCGTAGTAGTAGTAGCCTTAGTAGTAGTAAATAATCGTAGTAATAGTACATAGATGCAGCGTTGCTATATGACAGTTGCAGATACGAGCAATATCAGCAGATTTGCATCAGTCCGCCACCGTGCCGCAGGACACGTAGTGGGAGTGTCCTCAGGTCCTGGGCCCAATCCTCTACGCCTCAACCCTTGCTCTTGAGAAGTCCTTCAAAGGCCCGGACCCCTCACTCTCAAATCTCCCGGGGCTTGGCGCGCGTCCGCTGGGGTTTCCAGCATCTTGTAGCGTGACCTGTTCGGGCCCAAGTCAAGAAGGCCCCAAAACAAGCCAAAAGAGCCGCGAGATGCCCCCCAAAACGGTCCAGGTGGGTCCCGAATCGCGGAAAGACCACCTCAAGACGCAAAAGATGGCCCCAAGACGCCCCAATAGGCGCCAAAGACACTCCAAGGGGCCTCAAAGAGGCCTTCCAAGAGGGTCCCAAGAGACAAGGAATTTGAAGGTTCCAATAAGCAAGAGGGCCCCAAGAAGGCCCCAATCATGTTCTGTTCCTGTGGTTTTTGAAAGATTTAGTCTTTCTCGCCAGTTACGCTTTCCGACGCTCCAAGACGGCCAACGAGGCCCCCAAGACCACCCCGAGACGGCCCAAGAGGCGCCCAAGACGGCCCCGAAAGGGGCCCAAGACAGGGAACACGAACAGAAAATCCGAGCAGTCCGCCAGTGTTGGCGTGTAGCTATGTTCTTGTAGTGTTACACCGTGTTAGCCAGTGTTTTCTTGTAGTTAGTGGTTGTGTGTGTTGTTTTCTTGTGTTGTAGTATTGTAAGTATGGTGTTCCTGTCGCGGAGTTGTGGAAGTATTGGCGTCTTGTTTCAAACTGTTGCGTTCTGTTGTCTAGAAGTGTTGTCACAGAGTCATAGAAAACCATGGATTGTCGATGATTGGGCGCCTCAATATATGTGTATATATACACATATACACATGCATGTATATATATGTGTACATGGATACATATATGTGTGTGCGTGTATGTCTGAATGTTCCCGTGTATGTAGATATGTACGTATGCATGTGCGTATGCGCGTATGTATGGATGCATGAATGTATGACTGCATGAGTGTGTGTGTGTGTATGAATGTATGCATGTCTACATGCATGTATGTATGCATTGATGTATGTAAGGGTGGAAGGAAGGATGGATGTATGAATGCATTCATACATCGATGTCGGTGTGCTTGTATGTGTTTGGGTGTGTGCATGTGTGTATGTATGGCTGACTGTGTAAAGGCATGCATGTATGTTTATGCGTATACGCATAGTTGTATGATGAATGTATGTGTGTATGTGCGCGCATGCGTGTATGTATATATGTACGAATATATGTATTAGCGTATGCATGTAGATGAGAATAAATAAACATTTGTACGTACGACTGGGTGGTTGCATGTACGTATGTATAAATGCATGAATGTGTGAGGGCATGAAGGTATCGATGTATGAGTGTATGCACGTAGTGATGTATATATGTATGGATGCATGTATGTATGTTTTCATGAGTGGATGTGTATGCTTGTATGTGTGTATGTATGTATGTGTGCATATGTGTAAGCATGTGTATGTATGTGTTGGTATGCTGGATGTAAGATTGTGTGTGTCCATGCATGTATGCATGTATAGTTGTATGCGTATCTGTATGTATGTCTGCCTGTCTGTCTGTCTGTCTGTCTGTCTTTCTGTATGTATGTATGCATGTATGGATGTATGTGTGTGCATGTAACTTGGCATGATGTGTATGTGTATGTGCATGTGTATGTGTGTAAGCATGCATGCATGAAGGTATGTATGCATGTATACATGCATGCATGCATGCATGCATGCATGTTTGTATGTATGGGTGACCGTCCGTATGACACTGCGCATATATACACAATAACACAGGCTATCAGAACAGACAAGCACAACCACATCAGGCATCGTCCCCACGTCTGCAAACAGCAAAGCGGAGAAACGGAGCGGGAGGCGGGGAATGCAAGTAACTATGTTCGAACTCATCCGTGCACTTACGATGGGCAGGCCCGAACCGATGACAATCTCTCGGGCGCGCCCTCAACAACGGAGGCAACTCTCAAGGTTCGCACCGAGACGAGGTGATACAGACCTACCTTGTAGGGATGGGGGCGTGTTTTAGGCTGCCCAGCAGTGCTGGGGCTCTCGGTTCCCAGGCCACCCACTCCTCGAACTCCAGGCTCTCCGGCTCGGGAAGCACGAACCTGGGACGCCTCCGACCACACACCGACACCGAGCCCAGAGCTGGGACCATCCTGGGCCACGGAAGAGTTCTCTTTAAGCCCGAACGCCCTCTACCACACCAGAAATAGGGCGCGAGCGTGGAAGGGCGCGCTTCCATTGAAAAACACATCGTCGGAGATTTGGGTCCCCTTCCGCCTCATGACTCGGGGCTCTGAACCCAGACATGCGAAGTCCTGATGTTTGCAATGCGCGGCCCCCAGAAGCCCCGACCCCCTGTTCAGGGACCGGCGTTTCATCCTGAGTCGTTTTTTGACGGCCCTGGGGCCCCGTAAAGGGCACCAGAGGCCGAAAACGTCGAACACCAGCGTCCCGAATTGTTCACGACGCGAGCACGTCTGTCGGCGGCGAGTCCGAGGGCAAAGTGAGAGGGGGCGGGCCTCTTCAGAAGGCTCGGACGTGCCCTGGGATTCTGAGAAGACTTTCAGGCCTTCCCCAAAGACACCGAAAACCTCTCAGACGGCCGCAGGCCTTCTGTCGAATTTCGCCACCTTCCGAGAAGGCCCTCTAGAGGAAGAAACAACGGGATAAACACAAACTGTTGGACGTCTGCGCGGAGTTCTTGGATCTACGCTGGGCCCCCCTCCCTGGTGCGCGGAGCGCCCCAGGGGCGGCGCCAGTGGCGCCGCCGAGGGGCCCAGCGCGGATCCAAGAAAACCGCGCGGAGCGCCCAAAAGTTATGTTTCTGCCTTTCTTTCTTCGATTTACAGTAGGGGCTCGACCACAAGAAACCTTCCACAAAAAACCCAACCCTGAGACCCCAGCACGTCTATTGACTCTTGGTGTGGGAACGTCACGCTCTCCATCGCAAAACCATCGAAACCCAAGAAACCCATGGCACACTGGAGGCAAGCAGGATGCTTCTCAGCATGGGTCTCCACTGTATGCCGCTTGTTCTTCTTCGATGAATACCCCCCTCGCTGGCCGCCGGGTCTGTCGGGAGCGGCCAAGAGGGGGGTGTCCACGAGGGGGGGGTGCAAGTCATGACCGGCGGCATGTGCGCGTCCCAGAGGGGGCCAGGGACGTCATGAAATAAGAAGAGGCGCCATGAAATGTGGGGAAATATCCTAACCCCCGCCATGATATCCCCCCCCCTAGCCATCATCCCCCTCTTTTCCGCCTCCGGGTCTGGGACTTAGTGGGCCCTGGAAACGACAGGGCCGTTTTTTTTACCGGTTCCGTTTTGCTGTTTTTTCGCCGGTTCCGGCGCCCTTTTTTAACCGGTTCCGTCGCCGTGTTTTCACCGGTTCGGGCTCCGGTTCCAGTCCTGGAGCCGTTTCTGTTGCCGCCTCCGGTCGCCGTTTTCTTGCCGCTTCCACTCTTCAAGGGGCATTTTTGGAAAAAACTGTGAAAAAACGGCCCTGCCGTTTCCAGGGCCCACAAAGCTCTGGGAGGCGTGGGGCTCGGTGCCGGTGCACGGATGGGCGGCTTCCCCCGGAAGGACCGGCCGCCCGCGGCACAGCTCTGCGGGGAGGCCCGCGGCGGCGGGCGGCCCTCGGCGCCGAAGAGCGCGCCGAGGGGGGAGATGCGCACCCGGCGGCCGTCGTTGAAGAGCGCCGCGCCTCCGCGCCCCGTCGGTGGCAACTCCCGGGAGCCTCCCATGCCGTCTTGCTGGCTCTTGCGGATCGACGCGGTCAGACTCTAATACGACACCGGTTGGCGCCAAGACGGTGCGAAATCGACGCTGCTCGACGCTAGTCGACGCTGAATCGGCGCTGCGGCGCTGCCATCGACAACAAGACGCCGGTCGACGCTGACGCAATCTAAGGATGGAACTACGAGGGCACACAACGAGGCTGCCATGATTTGCTACCGAAGCCCCCCCAGACATGCTCGAGTCGCGAAGAACCTGTGAGTATCGTTTAACCGACCCCCATGCCCACCAGCGTGGGCACTGGGCCCCACTGGCCAATTTATCCCCCTAGATGGGGATATAGGCCGTTCCCTCCGGGTTGCGAGGGGTGTTTCCCCAACTGGGGGGGGAATTTGGTGGGGGTCTCGAAGGGGATGGGGATGGGGATGGGGGTCGGTCAAACGATACAGAACTTTGTCGGTTGTCAGCCTCTGGCGGCCCTTGACGGGCCACGGTGCTCCCAGCCATGCTTCACTGACGGGGCCCTGGGACGCACAAATAAACACACACACACAAAGAAACGGATTCCCCGTACTTCCCATGTGTTCTGGGCTCTTGTCTTCCCCCCCTCACTCCCCATATCCTCCCAGATGTTCTGGGGAATCGACGAGGAATTGTGTCTGTGCGTGCTCTTGCCCCCTCCTGCTTCACGCACGGCGAACCGATCCGTACCTCCACGCCCTCGGGGCCGGGGCTCGAGGGCGCCCGCCCCCGCGGAGGCGCGGTCGGGCGGGCCAGAGCGCCCCACAGCCGCGAGGCCGCGGCCCGGGTGACGAACGAACAACACGCACCCATACCCATAGGGGGGACGGAGGGGGCGATGGGTGCGTGTTGTCGGATGGGGGTCCCCGCACGAGCGGGAGCTTCCCCCAGGGTCCGACAGCTCGCACCCACCCATACCCGTAGCCAGTCCTGCTCCTCCCGACCCTCCTGTGGGCATGGACGTGTGCTGCTCGCTCGTCGCAAGGGTCGGGTCGGGCGAAAGGGGGGGACAGCAAAAAATTGGGGGGGTGAGACTCAGCTCACGTACGGTAGGTTCGTGCGGGGTCGGCGCGCGCAAAGGTTTTTGACACCGCGTCGATCGTTCAACCTTGAATTGATCGCGGCCTCGATCGTTCAAAATTCAATTCAATCTTGTCCAATGGCGTTACCGTGTTCGTCGCTGCTTCCGCGTCGCAGAATTCAACCTTACACGCCTTCGCCGGCGTCGCTGGCGCGCCAACGCCGCGCGAACCAACCGTATAGCTGATTTTCCCGGCGCCTCCCAGCGCCGGAGGCGACAGTGCATCGAGGAACGGGGCCCCTCGGCGGGGGCCGAAGCCGGCTGCACGCGGCCAGTTCCGTACCCCCCCTTGCCCCGCATCCCCCCCCTCTTGCGTCCGCGGCCCGAGAGAGGGCCTGGCCCGCGCGGCCGCGGGCACGGGCACGCCCCTCCTCCTCCTCCTCCTCCTCCTCCTCCTCCTCCTCCTCCTCCTCCTCCTCCTCCTCCTCCTCCTCCTCCTCCTCCTCCTCTCCTCCTCCTCCCCTCCTCCTTCTCCTCCTCCTCCTCCTCCTCCTCCTCCGCGTCGCGAAGAGGTCGCGGGGCGGGGGGGGCCCGCGGGGTCTTCCGCCGCGGTCGGCCCCCTGGGGGCCCTCGGCGGGCCGCCGGGCCATGGGGCGACACGCCAGATCCGAGGAGCGGGCCGAGGCCTCCAGGCGGCCACGTCGCGGGAGGATTACGACGCCGGGGATCGGGCCCCCCGCCGCCCGCCAGGCAGAAGCAGGCCGGGCAGGCTCGGAGGAGGCGTGCCTGGTCCTGCTGCTGCTCCTCCTCCTCCTCCTCCTGCTCCTCCTCCTCCTCCTCCTGCTCCTGCTCCTTCCTCCTCCTCCTCCTCCTCCTCCTCCTCCTCCTCCTCCCTCCCCCTCTTCCTCCCTCCTCCTCCTCCTCCTCCTCCTCCTCATCCGCCTCCTCCTCCTCCTCCTCCTCTCTCTTCCTCCTTCTCACTCGACTTTTCCTCTTATTCCTACTCATAATATTATGAATGTGGTGATGATTATCCTCCTCTTCCTCCTCTTCCTCATCTCCTCCTCTTCCTCCTGCACCTCCTCCTCCGCGTCCCCCTCCTCTTCCTCCTCCTCCTCTGCCTCCTCCTCCTCCTCCTCCTCCTCCTTCCTCCTCCTCCTCCTCCTCCTCCTCCTCCCCCTTTTCCTCCTCCTCCTCCTCCCCCATTCCCCAACCTCTCGCAATGATTATCCCGCTGCTGCTGCCAATCCTCCTCCCAAGACGAAGGCACCGCGAAGAGATGTGTGTGTACATATCCTTTTTATTCATATAATTATATAAGGCCGGGGACCTAGGAAAGAGCGCACACCCCCTGACCCCCCCCAGAAAACGAATTTCGAATCCTCGGTTCTGTTTTGCGCCTTGGGTTTTCTCTGATTTTCGACTCTCGAAGTCCTCTTGGACCAGCCTCAGGCCTGTTTGGGGCTCGTTTGGGGACTGGAGCCGTCCTGAAGCTATCTCGACGCCCCGACAAATAATGTTTCCCCAATGGGTTTTCAATGATTTTCAATTGTCTGGGCATCATTCGGCCAGCCTTGGGCCTCTTCACGGCTCGTCTGGGGATTCATTTGGAACCGTCCTGGGGCTACGCTGACGCCTAAAGTGCCGATCGTACGCGAAAAGGCGGCAAGGCCGAACAAATTGATTTCCCAAGGGGTTTTCATTGAATTTGAATTATTCAGGCCTTCTTCGGCCAGCATTGGGCCTCTGTGGGCCTCGGCTTGCGCCTCTCTGGAACCATCTTGGGGCTACCTTGGCGCCTCCCGAACCGACCGGAAGAGACAAGGCGGAAAGACCGAACACATTGTTTTTCTAATGGGTGTTTTCTTGATGTTCGAACGTCCGGGCCGTTTAGGGCCAATATGTGCCCTCTTTGGGCTTGTCATGGGACTCATTTGGAGCCGTCCTGGGCCTAAGGCGAGAAGACAAAAAAACATTAATCCCCCAATGGGGAATCACGGATGTTCAATTATTTGGCCATCTTCGGCCAGCCTTGGGCCTCTGTGGGCCTCGGCTCACGCCGCGCCTATCTGAGGCCATCCAGGGACTATACTGACGCCTTTTCGAGCCAACGAGAAAAGAAAAGCGAGAACGCCGAACACATTGTTTTTCCGTTGGGTTTTCTCTGATGTCTGACCTTCCAGGCCCTGTCGAGCCAGCCTTGGGCCTCTTTGGGGCTCGCCAAGGGGCTCATTGGGAGCCGCCCTGGGGCTATATTGAAGCTTCAGAAACCGATCGTAAGCGAAATGCGAAAAGGCGAAAAACAATGAATGCGAACCGAACCGAACCGATTGATTTCGAATGGGTTTTCATTGGTGTTTTGTTGTGGGCCTTCTTGGGCCAGCCTTGGGCCTCGTCGAGGGTCGAAGCTGGCAGCCCAGCAGTGCCCAATGCCGAAAATGGCATGCTCCGTAGGAGGTGGAGGAAAAGGAAGGGGGGAGGAGGGGAGGAGGAGGTAGAGGAAGACAAGGAAAAAGAGGAGGAGGAGGAGGAATTACAGGAAGAGGGGGAGAGAAGAGAAAGACAATGAGGATGAAGAGAGAGAGGAGGAGGAAAAGGGGGGGAGGATAATGAAAAGGAGGATGCCCTGCTTCATGCTTGCCAAACCACTCGCCTGAGACATTCTCGCGCCTCTGGGCCCCGAAACGTTCTGAGATGGTTTCAACTGTCCTTGTCCGGTCGTTCCCGCTCAGGAGCGCCTCGCCCATTCCGACATGGCGGTGGCCCGCCCAGTGTCCACGCGCACGCACGCCGCCTTCACTCTCAACTACAAGGAAGGGCCAATGCAGTCTTGTCTATAGATAGTGTACATAGGAGTATATATATATGTATATGTATATGTATATGGATATGTATATGTATATGTATATGTATATGTATATGTATATGCATATGTATATGTATATGTATATGTATATGTATATGTATAAGTGTGTACGCATGGCCGCCTATATATATAGAGACAGAGAGAAAGAGAGAGAGAGAGAGAGAGAGATAACAAATATATATATATATATATATATACATCAAACAAGAAAGAACACGTTCAGGGGTCGCTTGGAGGCCGGGGGGGGGGGGAACCGGACCCCCCCCCCCTCCGTGACAGGGGGAGGGGGGTTGGAGTCCCCCACCCCCCTTCCCATACTTTTCCTCTCTCCCTCTCCACGGCTGTCGGCGGCGGCGGCGGGGACGACGGCGGCGCCGGCGCCTGCGGCGGCGGGCGGCGGCGGCTGGTAGCGTCGACGAAGACGACGGTGGTGGTGGTGGGTTGTGGTGGTGGTGGTGGCGGTGGTGGTGGATGAAGTGGTGGTGTGGTGGTTTGTTGTGGTGGTGGTGGTGGTGGTTGTGGTGGTGGGTGGTGGTGGTGTGGTGGTGGTGTAGTGGTTTGTGGTGGCGGTGGTGGTGGTTTGGTGGTGGTGTGGGGGTGGTTTGTGGTGGTGGTGGTGGGTTGTGGTGGTGGCGGTGGTTTGTGGCGGTGGTTGTGGTGGTGGTGGTGGCGGTGGTGGTGATGGTGGTGTGGTTGTTTGTGTTGGTGGTGGGTTGTGCTGCTGGTTGTGGCGGCGGTGGTGGTGGCGTGGTCGATTGTGGTGGTTGTGGTGATCGTGGGTTTTCGTGGTGGTGGTGGTGGTGATGGTGAGTTGTGGTCCTGGTGGTTGTGGTGGTGGTGGTGGCTGTGGTAATTTGTTGTGGTTGTGTGGTGGGTTGGTGGTGGTGGTGGTAGTGGGTTGGGGCGGTGGTGGTGGTGGTAGAAGTGGTGGTAAGGGTGGAGTTCGTGGCTGCGTCCGCGCCGTCGCCGGCGCCAGCGCCGGCGCTGCTGGCCGCCGCCAGCGCCGGCGCCGGCGCCACGGGGGCGGGGGGGAGGGTTGAACCCCCTCACTTCGGGGGCG